CGCACTGTTAGAATATCAGCCAACTCAAAATTCATGAATTTTGAGTTATGAAATACTATTGAAGCAGAGAAAATAAGATCTTATAAAATGCAAGAACGCCACATTCAATAGTACTATTTAGACCAACTATAGAAGAGTGCAAGTATTGAATTATTTAAATGTTAGTTAATTTCAATGCAAGAGCATATTCACTTTATGGCGGATACTTTTTATCTTATCAAATTATCACTGAATGCCAGAAACCGACCCTTATTTCGACTTGCGACGTTCTGATTGAAAACTATGTATCGGTGTGATATGTTGAGCAACACAACGAACGAAGCACATCAATATGAAGTAATCTATATTAAATAATAAGAATAATTTTTGTTTTTTTTTCAGATTGGTTAACTTCATCCATTGATTAAGTCGGTTTTTTGTGGAGATTCATCGATATTTTTTGTTTCTTAACAAAATTCAAGTTATATTAAAATAATAAGTGACATACCTACCAAGAGCCTGACACTTTGTGCTTATTATAGCCATACCAACTGCTGTCACAGTACGTAGAAGCCTACCTATTTACTCTTGTTTATGCTAATTCGAAATAGACTATACATCTATAGTTATAAAGATAGTTAAGAGGACATTAAATCCGTGTAATGTCTTGTCTTGCAAATTTACAAAATAATACATTTTCGTTTTTTTTATTTATTTACTTTTTATTTTTATGTGTTTATGTGCGTAGAACACGTAATTTGTATACCTTTAACGATAAAAATTATGTTTGGATTTAATACCTCTGTTATTTTTTGATATTTTAAGTACCATTTTATTATACTGTATAATATATAATAACTTTGTTGTCCATTGTAGTTTTGAACTCAACTTATGGTATATGAAAAAAATTGAAAAATAATATGGGTGCTGCAAGTAGATACGGTGAAAATAGCGTCTTATCACGTTGTACATCTATGGATATGGATCTGACCAAATGCACGATTGACGTGATGATTTTCAAAAATGTAATTTCTGTTACCGTTGCTTATCTATAACATCATTACAACTACAACAAGGGTTAACTTCTAATAGGGGGGAACCAGGCCACATCATGCACATATTGTGATTTACTTATTTTATCACTAACGAGAAGTATTGCGTGTTGTGTTTTTCAGATGGAAAAAATAGTGAATCGAATGCATGATCCGGTCAAAGGTGTTTTTCTGCGTCGAGATATCACTTTGGACTACACACTTCCATCTGTTTTTACTGGTAAGCGTAACGAGTTTGTCTCTATAATACATGTTATATAAAGCGTAAATTAGACCTTCCCAAATTGTTGATCATGGACAGTTTTAATTTTTTTTTATAATTTTGATTATGAAATAATTATATGGTAATAATACATTTAATAATATATTAAATATTTGGTATTCAGGTATTCTTTATAGATATCTAAACATTTTTTTGTTACTTGTTATTGAAGTGGTACAATAATTAGGTAACTACTCATTTATTTCGATTTTTTTATCTACTACTTATGTAAAAATAAGTTTAAAATAAGGTCATTTTAAACAATCCAAAAATGATATGTTTATGCTTTTGCAAACTTTATAACTAGGGATTGGATTTTTATACAAATGCATATATATATATATAATATATATTGGAATAATGTTTTTGAAATTTGATGAGAATTTTTCCTGATCTAGATCATTTTTATTAAAATAATATTAATTATATTTTGCGTTTTTCAACGAATTCATATATTAAATGCATATTAAGTAATAGTTTTATAGTGCATATTATTATTTACAGCTACATAATATCGATAAAATTACGACCGGTTGTTATTGCCTAATCTAACCTAACTTATATTCAATATAAATATAATATATGATTATAAATCAATTTTTGTTTCATTATTTTATTAATATGGGCTAATATTTTATAAATTGAATATATAAAATGTTAAATATGACGAATATTTTTTATACTTTTAAAACCTTTTTATACCTTTTTTAATACTAAATTTATTAATACCTAATAGTTTTTCTTGAAACGGCTTCTCGACAACGCTTTAAATTTTGCACAAACGTAAAGATAAAACATCTTTATGCCTAGTCACAAAACTAATGGCCCATTCTTTACCAGGCATGTTATTACAGCCAAATCGTTTTACTTTTTTTCCTTGGCGATCTTAGTATCCTTTGACTAAAAGTCTTAGATCATATTGATCAAGAGGAAATCCCCATTCTGCACATAGAAGTATACGATCAATTATAATGTTTTCTTCAGACACAGATAAAGCCGTTTGGCCACATTGTTTTTTTAAATTAGAATTTTTAACATGACGGTAGAGTACAGAATAATGTATGCCATATATTTCCTCAGCTTCCCGATATTTTACCTGTTTACTTTTAATTGCCATAATAGCATTTTTGAGATCATTATGATTTGGTTTCATATACTTTTTGCTTCGAGGATCTAGTTGATAAATTCGTAGCATTTTTACGTTGTTTCTATACACCCCAAAAAAACAATTTTTTAATTATAAATTAATAAAATAAAACTTGTAATAAATAAAAAATGTATACTTACGAATTATAAAATTGAAGAAATCAGCAGACATTAAAAAAAAAAAAAAATAATAATAATCAATCAATCTTATTATACAGAAAAAAATATTTGTGTCATCACGTATTATAACTGATAACAAACTTGTGTCATAAGATCACCGTGTTTTATTTAATATTAAGTATTCTATACTCTTTTGAAGTTATTCATTTAAGTACCTTGTTCCTATATAATATACTCATTGGAATTTAATTTTTTTTATTAATCAAGTATGTCTCTTAAGTATTTTGTGCCTAGGTGTAACTCTGGATTACCCAAATAAAATCAAATATTTAAACAGCAGGGAATAAAACTACCTTCGGTATTTCATCCACTTGAGATAAATATTTCTTATATTAATTAATAATTAATAATTACATTATTATTATATATTATGTATATTCAATGAACAATTCTTATGTATATTTTTTTTTTATTAAAAAAAAAACAATTTATTAAATAATACAAATACAAGTACAAGTACAAGTATACTGAAAACAATTTGGTTTAACTACCATCTTTAAGCTACCTTTCTTAATTTTTTAAAATATTATTTAGATAATTAAAATATGACATATGTCCTAAATAGTCTACAAATTTCTGATCAATACCTTTTTTTTATTATTATAATTGACTTTTTAATCATATCTTGTAGATTCATGTTATTTTTATTCTGATCAAATTTTGAGTGACTTTTTTTAACATTGTGGATATGGAACGTTATTCTATAGTTATGGATGAAATTAACATTACTGGAGTTCCTTCCAAAGTTGGCTGTCTGGAACATCAAAATGAATTAATAAAACATGTTGTTAATTTCTATTTGAATACCAGAATGATATTTCCATGCAAAAGGTATAACGATCAAATATCATATAAGAAAAATACTATTAAAAGATTTAAAAAAAAAATAATATCAAAATTAATATAAATAAAAACTATTTGGTACCTACTTACCTACTTGTAATTGTAAATGTTTTTAAAATTATTAAGATATTATATTAATTAAAAGTACCATATACACATATAATACGTTTAAAGTTACACTATTTAAAATAAAAAAATATTAATTATATTAGGGCATGAAGTCCATAGCTCTTGTAATTCCTAAATATATTAAGAAATAAGAAAAAATAAATGTAAAAATGCATTACATGCCATATAAATTTTAATATTTTTGAGCCCTCATCGGGTAGTCAGCGCTCCCGGTGGTAGTCTCAAGTGGTGTACTTTTTTCGGCCAACTATTATAATGATACAAGATAGGAAGTGTTTACACATCTATATATCCACCTTGATTTTAATTTTATAACAGATTAGGTGTAATGTCGTTTACATTCACTTGAATATGATAAAGAAAAAAGTGTCCTAAACCAATTTTCCTAAAAACAACAAGACCGAATATAACTTTATCACTTTTCGTTTCTATTCACCCCATTTGACGGTACTTATTTTTTACATAAAAACAATAGTGCATATTTAATAATAAATGCATATTTTGAAGATTTTTTGTGCATGTATGATTCCAATCTCTAGTTATAATTGACAAAGTGACGAACAACAACTGCCGTACTCTTTTTGTTTTTAACAGTTTTATTTTTTTTTGAATAAAATATATAAAAGTCATTGTTTAAATGACATGGATAAGTCACCAAATTTTCAATCGTAACTACTCAGTATGTAAAGCCTAAATACTTTATTATGAATTAAGATATAATATGATAATTATGATGTACGTGGTAATGATTTATTTATTTACAGGAGCTGATTTAATAAATTGGATAATATATAATACAGAAATTTCAACCACAGGTATACTTAGAATAATGCGCGACAACTAATAATCACCAAAGAAGCCTTTTATATTATTATTTATTTTTCATATTTCAGAGAATGCGTTGTACATGGCAAATTTATTGTTTTCGTATGGATTTTTTTTTTCTATTGCTCGTCAGCACACAAAGGTGACAAATGACGAGCACTGTTACCGTTTTCAAGTGAGTAAATATTGTAAGAACACGGATTTATATATAAATATAATACCTAGTATATAATGTATATTAACATAGGTAGATATGTTTATTCAATTTTCACATATTTTATAATAAAACAAGATGCATCTGCCAATACTAAAGTAGTGTAATCGGGCTCATAAATGCAAATAATAACAAAAAACCTTATATTAACCAATCAATATAGAATTTATCTGAAATTTGTTACTCTAAACAAAACAAATTTCGTTGGCTAATGATATGTGGTTTGAATTTTGCTGTACCAATTATAAAAAGTAAATTCAGGTAGTCACTTCTTAAAAGTGATTTATTATTTGATTATGTTAGTTTCTATATCGAGACAAAAATTGTTGCTATTTTCATCATATTATGATCTTGTAAAGCTAGAAAATCCTTATTTGAAAGGAATGAAAAAATTGTAATGTATTTTGTTATATTCATTTTTGAAATTCATCTAAATAAAATGTATTTATTTTTAATTCGATAAGGTAAAGATAATTTTTATCAATACATAATAGATTTTTAAAGAGACAAAATGACTTTTCACATAACTACATATCAAAAAAACGAGATAAATAATCATTTTAGAATTCTTGCAGCATTTTAACGAAACAATGTTTTAAGATAATTCTCAGCACAGAAGACAAATAGCTTTTTTATTTTATTCAATAAATAAATCATTTATGTACTTATAATTGAAAAATCGACAACCACTGTTATATATACGTAATTTTGCGTTAGGAATTTTCTAGTATAATACTTGTTCAGTTATTCAACCATGTGCTGTAAATGTCATAACAAATAATAATGTTTATGTTCATATCGAAGTAAATCAGAATCTTTATGATCGTTAATTGAAGATTAGATTTTCTTATTCTTATTAGATTATAATATAGACTATTAGTATAACATAATAAAAACAAGATATTGCATTGTGAACCTATCAATTAAAGTTGAAAATTACACACATTAATTATTAATACTTATCTTTCTATCTAGAAAGTCTTTAAAAAAAAAACAAGTGATGAAGACAAGAAACTTATCTCTACCCACGATGAAGAATTTTTCCGTCAACCAAGATATCCGATCGGAGGCAACAGTTTTGAATTGCTTGATTTAGCTCTTACATATTGTCAGAGAACAAATCAACTAATTTTAAACATGGCTAACATGTCAAACTGCGTGATATCTCAAAACACTAGTATCAAAATGAACAATTTCAAAAACAAAAATAATAATATTACTAATGAAAATAATTATTTCCCGACAAATAATGAAAGCAAACTATCAATTGGTAGTTCTCAATCATTTGAAAAACCTCCTGAAATATTCATCCACAGTGTCAGAAGTGAACAGTTAATCAACAATCTAAGAGAAATTGATGATTCTAACAATTTAAATTTTATAGCTTCGTTTAATCATTTAAAAATACAAACGACTCAACTAGAAACTTACAAGAAGATTATTAGTTACCTGGATGGTTATAATGTATTGTATGGCACGTCATACCAATCGCTTAAGAATACCCAAAAATCATTCAAGGTCATTTTAAGAAATGTTTTAAGAAAAGTGTTTAACATGAAACCCAAAAAAACAAATGTTTCTCTACCATTGTATACTATTGACCTCAAACCATCAGATATAAACGAAGAAATATTTAGTATCGACACTTTTCCAAACATAGATGTTGAGTTTGAAGAACCATACAAAAAAGGTGATGTTGAACAATGTAAAAATTGCCAAGATTTTGGTCATTTATGGCCTGACTGTGTCTTCCCATCACGCTGTGTTAGTTGCGGAAAGAACCACGCTTCATCGGAATGTACCAAACCCAAAAATACTCCAGCCACGTGTGCATTATGCCAAGGTGATCATCCGGCCAACTACAAAGGTTGCCGATTCTATAAGATCTTTCAACATCTACGTCGACAAATTCCAGATGACGTTGTTCAGTTCGCACCTCAAGTTCCAAAACATTTTGCACCTCAAATCTTCCCAAATTCAGCTCCCTGTCCAAAGGTAAATTTTACTTATATTAAATTAACCCGGTTCCTTTTTTCTAAAATGAACATTAGAATACCTTCTAAACCCGTTGCCCACTATTTTACAGTTGTATCCAAACTTTGGTTAGGCGATTTCATTTTCTGCTATTCAATAAAAATATTACGTTAAGTATATGGACCATAATAAACATGCTTAACATTAAAGTCCACTATATTCGATTAATCATCAATTCTACTATCTAAATTTTAAGCGATTAAAAGATTAGCGATAAAATAATAAATTCATCAATAAATAAAATGAAAATAAATTAACAACTTCTTATTTTTAGTCTGCTAGGACGTTAAATTAAAAATATAATGTATTTGTATAAATTCAACTAAATCACTAATATTTACAAAATGGTTTGTTGCTAAAAATTTATAAAACGCACAAATTTTGTATCTAAAGTTTAAGAACGTTATACAAAGTTCCTGATAAACAGTTTATACATGAAAATTAAAAAAAATTATATGCATAATTCTTGTTTACATATTTCAAGTTTAAATTTGGGCACAATTACAATATATGTATAACTGTGAATAACAATATTATCTATTTTGTATTAGATTCAAAATCATTATTCGTAAATACCCAAAGCTTTTACGTATATAATATATTCATATACATTTTATTAAAATATATTTACAATCTGTATACATCGTTTATAATTTATATGATAAGTAAATTTTATAAATGTATGATATAGACATGAAAGCTTGATAAAAGATAGTGCCCAGTGACATGACTTCAATATTTTAAATCATCGCTTAAAGTTAATTATTTAACAGGGCTCTTGGCCAATAGTGTTTTGAACGGTTCGCTACTGCTACCTGCTACCATTCTTCATCGTACAACATGCTTATAAAAATATATTTTTTTTTATTTTAAGACGAAATATACAATCTATATTATAGGAAATAATAAGTATATATATGGTTAGAGACAAATAACATGAGTATACAAAAAATAAAAAATGAATAAAGAAACCACTCAATAATAACACTTTAATGTTGATTTTAAAAGTTGTGAAATTAGTATTTATTTACATGTTTTTTAATATAAAAAAAATATTAATTTATAATTGTCTATTGTTGCAACGAAACCTATAAAGATGTGTAGACGCGTGTAATACTTGTCACCCGCATCTATTACACTTTTTTATTGTTATTTGCCAAATGCTGCTTAAATGTAAGGTTTTCTTGCGCTCGTTGCCGAATCGATGACTCGTTTACTTGTTAGTCGTATCCGTTCGTCCGTTCGATTTTGTGTTTTGTATTAGGTATACGTATACCAATAAACCATATAGGTACCATATACCCGATGCATAATTTAAAAATGTTGGTACATATAAAGGCGGGATCCCACTGTGCGAGGCGTGGTAATGCACTGATGAATCGGTGTTGGTCGGCGCGGCTTTCGTGTCTAATCGGAAATTTTCGGTTTTGGTACCCAAGTCGAGTATATATCGTTCCTATACTTAACGAATCCGCCCTCCACGTCAGAGTGGGTTACAGGTCCGCCCCTGGGTGTGGTATTGCACAATGCATAGTAATGCGGTGTGGTGTCGATGTTGCTTGATGCGATTCGTGTAAGTGCGGCGGGGCTCTCGTTTCTATCCGGATATTTCAGTTTCTGATACCTGAGTCAAAGGAATTCATTTTTATGCTTACCAAATCCATCCTCCACGTTCCTACGGACTGAGCAGCCACCACTAGGCCATGCAATCCTGGTACTCACCTCGCGGTTTTTATAGTGTTGTACGCTTGTAGTTACGTAATATTTTATTTTATGTTATAAAGTCTTTAGTCTATTATGATACCTTATTAAAACAACAATAGATAATTTTTAATTTGGATAATATTATGACTTCACTCGTGCAACAACTTCAGTTTGATCTCAGCCGCACCGCGGATTTTGTACAAGAAAACCGCGTTTGGGCTATTAGGGTCTTATGATATGATATCGTGGTGTTTCATCGACCGCTCAATAACACAATATAATATGAGAAAATTGTAAACGGGAGGAACCGATAGGGATATCACACTCTATACTACATAAACTATGTTAAAATACAAAATCAAACTTCAATTCGTTTAAAATTTGTATAATCAGATATATCGGTAACTGGACTATACATTTATCTGTAAAATTAAAATTGAATCAAAACAAAATCATCGATATTTTAATAATATTATTATTGCATTGTAAATATAATAGAAATAATTAATAAACGTATTCGCCAAAGTCCATAAATATTATTAGTTTATAATCAGCATTCAGCAGTCACGAATTATTTAATGATAACTGTCTCTAGTTGTGTAACCTCCACATGGTGGCGCCAAACCTGTGTATAAAAGGTGGGAAACCGCACTCATTGTTTGAATAGGAGGGTGTTAGGTAAATTTGAGTGTTATGATTTGAAAATAATATTGTTCATCAGAATTTTATTTACACTTCTTTTAAGTGTATTATATATGCATATTATTATTCTACCTTATACTCTTCTAAAATCAACTATCTAATTATTAATTGTAGCCGATATTTGCATAATAGTTTGTACATAAATAAATTATCTTTTGTACGACGTAGTTTCTCAATTCCTCGAGACCGGCGTCCATCTATGAGTATAATACCATAACTTATTTTTAATAACTATTATTGATAATAAATTGAGTATTTGTGCTTAAAAAGGTTGAATTGTAGGAGGGGGTGAAGCCCTTAACGGCTCTGCTTATATTGCTTGGAGGACGGGTATAGGTATTTTTTGGATTCTATAGCCTCACCAAATAAAATTTAGTTTGGCGCTCCTGCCTTAACACCTCACTATAAATTGATAATTGATATAGAGAAAATTACTTTCCCGACTATTTCGCTACACGCTATACTATTTTTAGGTATACAATGTTAATATTAACAAAACAGCCTCCATTAGATCATAAATTCTGATACTTAAGTCGTGGTTTATATAATGTCGTACGCTTGTAGACGTTGTAGATACATAATTTATATTATATTACTAGCTGCATCCACACGACGTCGTCCACTAGGAGAATTGCAAGTCAAATATCCTTTAAATTTTCATAATAATATGTATTGAATAAAAAATAATTTTTATTCTAATGCCAATAGAAAAATTTAAACTTATTGCTAATTTTTATTTTGTAATAGATTTAATGTATGGAGCAAAACATATAAATTATGTCAATAATCTAAAGATTTAAACGATTTATTTGTAAATTATAATGTTGACTTCTTTCGTATTAAGGGCAAAAATATAGGTATTGATTTAATTTTAACATCACGCAAGAAAGGGCAACGCACAGTTGACCGTGTGAAAAACATCACTTAGGTCAATTTCAGCAATGTTAAGTGTAAATTGTAACGTTCCAGGGCTTTATTGATAGTCTTTCCAAATGTTAATTTAATTAAAAATAGAATACGTTTAAATTTAAAAAGTAGATGTGAGGGTATTATTGGTTAGATGTGACCACTTAAAGAAATAAATGTTAATAAGTAATAAGTAGAAAAAAAAATGTAAAAAATGGATATCTGATTACTGGGATTCGAATTCGAGACTCTTTCTGTCATATTGTATTGAAGTGCCACTACGCCAGAAAATTTTTGTTACGCGTCCACAAAATAACGGCTATTTAAATAAAGATATACCCTACGTCTTTGTAGTACAAATCTGATCGTGTCGTAGAAATGTTATAAACGAAGTTATTCGAATAAATAATACGCGTACATTTTCCTCGGGTAATTGTCTATCCAATAGTGAAAATCGCATCAAAATCCATCCGGCCGTTTCGGAGTAAATCTCTAATAGAAAAAAAAACGACTTCATTTTATACTATGTATCGAAAAGTCTGATCGAGCGGTCGAAGAAGAAACATCACGGTTCATATTATGGGACCCCGGTAGTCTAAACGCGGTTTGGTTGTATAAAATCCGCGGTGCGGTAGAGATCAAAATGCAGTTGTTGCGTCAGTGAAGTCATAGTATAATACAAATTACAAATTATATATTGTTATTTTAATAAGCTGTTATAGTTGACTATTTATAATATAAAATATTACGTGACTACGAGCGTACGACATTATATAAACCGCGACGCAAGTACCAGGATAGCATGACCTAGTGGTTGCAATCGAGCCGTGTATCATAACATGTATTGTGGGACGTCGTTTAACATTGTTATTGTACACCATATTGCTAAGGACAGGGCGTGATTTTTATTGTACTGCCTATTAATGGAATGAAAGAAACTATATTATGAACACAATAATTGAATACGTCGGTTGTAAATGTTCACGATTGTACCGCCCATTCGAAATACAAAGGACTCGTTACATTATAGGCTGAGCGATGTATGGCATAAATATGTCGACATTTATTTTCTATATGTATTAGGTATAGTCTCGTACGTAGAACATAACGGCACGCGTGGAACTCTTTTTTATCGGAATCGCAATGAACACGTATAATACTCAATAGGTAGGCACTTATCGTACTTATTTTGTAACCGTGTAACAGGAATTCAGGGTTATAATTTGAAAAAAATGCAAGGTATACTTGTATTTACCTATGATTTATTAAGAATACATCGTGGACTGGTTCTTATTTTTCTGCAGTGCAGGTCAGAAATTATTAGATTAATCACTATATTCTATTTCACCGTTGCAACACATTTACTTGTTTGAAGTATAAATTTATAAGCATAAAATTATAAATAATTTGGTAATACTAGAATTTTTTTCACAGGAACAAATATGACAAAAACGATTTTAGATTTTTTTTGTATAAATATGCTTTGATTTTTAACTCTTTTGATGGTTTTTAATAGTAAATTGAATCTACGGGTAATTTAAATTTTAAAAAGGTCAAAATTGAGAATTCAAAGCATTTTTCAAAAAATAAATCTAATGATACTTAGAATACCTATATTTGATCTATTTTATAATGTATTTGGAGATTACGATGGTATTGGACGTTTATCGCTGTTTAAAATAATAGTTACGATAGTCGATAATACAAAAAATATGAACTAATATTTAAGTTTTTACTGGCCCCCGATTCCTCGAATATCATTGAATTCAAATGTAATACGTCCCTTTATAATTACAGTGACCCACTTTAATATTAACTGTACCTATAATACAATATTACCATTTGTCTACCTCATTTTTTTTTTTTTTTTTTAAACAATTTTAATTTGTATAAAAGTATTTAAAATTGATACTAAATGTTTTGTATTTATCAGGTGAAAATCTTTTAGCGAATAATGACAAAAATGGATTTTAAATATCATAGTATTAAGTACAATAAACAGAGTTCTAATAAAACTTGATTGATTAAAAATATAAATCTGCGTAAATACTTAATGTCTTATATTATTTTAAAAAATCAACCAGTATCCAAAATGATAAAATATTAATTTAAAAATATTATACTTAATATTTCTGTGGTATAAAAATGTGAAATTGGTGTTTATATGCTATAGTCTCTTTGAATTGAGTACAAACAGAATAATGTAATAAATTTAAATTACTAATATAATTTATTATTAATTTAGGAGCTTCACTTTGTTTAGATCTCCTCTATAAACTTTTTCTTTTATTATTATTGTTTTGTATATTTACTTACTAACTTTTTAATATGATTTTAATAATCTTTAAATAATTTAAAAAAAATTTAGAGGTGTTTCAACTTAAATATTCATATATACTCATAAGTTACTATTATGACTGATTTAGTTCTACATTTAACAATACTATTGTGTTAATTAAATACTGAGTTACTTTAAAATATAACCAAACTATCATAATAGGAATTTTTTTTTTTATATCCTACTTAAGAAATGTATACTCAAATAAATAATAAATTTGGAAAATATACATTTTTATAAGATTGTATTGCATGGAAACAGGTCAGATAGATTTAGAACAGAGTAACTTCTAAATAATTAGTATTTATACTAATAATACAAATCACAAAAACAATAACTATTAAAATTAATTTTATCTATAAACAATTAAGCAATTAGATACTAAATAGACTTATCTATTTTACTTTCCCATAGTATAAAAATCATATTGTTTTCATTTTTCTTTGTTACAGTCTTCTAATTTTTGGATGTCTGAGATACCCCAACCTGGAGATTATCAGTATGGTGAGTTATAAAAATTGTATAATTTAATGGGTACCTATTTGCCTATATTAGTGGTATACCTACTCATAAAATAATAGATTTCTTGGGTATACAGACGTATCGTTTTGATGTTATATATAGTTAGTGCCTTCTCTAATCACTATTATTTTGAGTAATTTTTAATAAAATGCAACACCTGCCTCAATAACTCAGTAAAAATGAATATTAAGTAAATGTTAACATATAATAGATGGTTAATAATATATTAGTTATTATACTTGTACATTTAATCAATGTATATTTTTTTATAAAAAAAATGTCTAGTAATTAATAAATAATTAATAATTTTTAAATAAAATATTTGTAATTATTATAGTTTCAAGTTTCAAAATTATATTGATAGATAATTATAAAAAATATTATTATTATTATTGTGTAATATTGTTGTAAAATAAAAAGTATACCTATTATTTTTTTTAATTTGTCAATATTGCCATTAAAATGCAATGTGTGATTCCTCTTAGAAATCACAATTTAAACAAAACTTATTAATGGTTGAGACAATAAAATAGACCATTAAACTCTTTATAATGCTGTATACTGTTATAATTAAAATAGCCAAAACATTATCAAAATACAAAAATATTTAGTGGAGACAAACATAATAAATTAATGATTTACAATTTATTTAAATGATAAATTCATGTTATGGTTAATTATTGGTCATACGGAGCGATAAATTTATTGAGGGGCTCAAGCCTAGATTATTAAGAAAATATTATTAATAACTTTCTATTTGCTAAAATACCTGTATTTGTTTTTAAAAACAAAAATAAATTTTAAAAATAAAAACCATTCAGTGTTCAGTGTATTGCAGTTAATTATATATCAATATAAATATGAACAAATAAACTACAATTTATTGATGTATTGCAGAGTATTTCAACATTACTACAAATACAAAAATAAACAGTAAAATAAAAATAACTTATGTAAAAGAAATAACTAACTGTTTTTAAATAATATTATACATTTGTAATTTAAAAAGATTCCAATTTGATCATGATAAATAAAATTTAAAAATAAATATAAAGTAGTAATGGACATAAATTACTTTAAAATGTTAAATAGTTAATTGAATTCTTCTTGATACATTTGGCAAAGTCTTCAAGAATCTGTTTTGATTCAATTGATGTCTTTACTAATTCATTTTCTATTGTATTATTGCCAAATTGCTAAATCTATTTTGAATCATGTGGTCTTAACCAATTTTAACAGTTCTCACATGGCGAAGACCAGTCCCATAAGCTGAGCCTGTACCGTATGCAGTGCCATAAAT